CTTGGTCCCACCAACCTGAAGACCCCCACCATGATGCCGCCATCTTGAACACCCCCATCCCTTGTCCCACCCCCCGTTGACCTCCCCCCCTTTCGTCAGGTGACGAGGACGATGACGACGAGGGCCGTGAGGAGAAGCTGCCATCTTGTTTCGACTACGTGATGCATTTCCTGACGGTGTTCTGGAAGGTTCTGTTCGCCTGTGTCCCCCCCACGGCCCTGCTGGGGGGTTGGGCAGCCTTCGGCGTCTCCATCCTCCTCCTCGCCCTGCTGACCGCGCTCATCGGGGACCTCGCCGCGCACTTCGGCTGCACCCTCGGCCTCAAGGACTCCGTCAACGCCGTCGTCTTCGTCGCCCTCGGCACCTCCATCCCTGGTGAGAGCTCATGGGAGGGGATGGGATGGGGAGGATGATGATGACGTTGGCCAAAGGTCAACGCCGTCGTCTTCGTCACCTTCGACACCTCCATCCCCAGGGAGGGATGGGACAGGGATGGGATGATGAATGACGTTGGCCAAAGGTCAACGCCGTCGTCTTCGGCACATTCGGCACCTCCATCCCCGGTGAGAGCTCATGGAGGGGATGGGACAGGGGATGATGATGATGATGACGTTGGCCATTCGGCACCTCCATCCCCGGTGAGAGCTCATGGAGGGGATGGGACAGGGGATGATGATGATGATGACGTTGGCCAAAGGTCAACACCGTCGTCTTCGTCGCCCTTGGCACCTCCATCCCCAGGGAGGGGATGGGACAGGGATGATGATGATGATGACATTGGCCAAAGGTCAACGCCGTCGTCTTCGGCACCTTCGGCACCTCCATCCCCGGGGTGAGGGGACACCGTGGGGAGGGATGGGACATCCCCATGATGTCCCCAATGTCTCCGTACCCAACTCATGACCCATGACCCAACGTCCTCAACATCTCCAACATCTTCAACACCTTCAACATCTCCAACACCCTCAACTCCCTCAATTGGTGTCTCCAACGTTCCCATACCCAACTCATGACCCAACATCCCCATGATGTCTTCAATGTCTCCATACCCAACTCATGACCCATGACCCAACACCCTCAACATCTCCAACATCCTCAACATCTCCAACTTCATAAACATCTCCAACATCTCCCACACTCTGAACATCTCCAACATCCTCGACATCTCCAACTTCGTAAACATCTCCAACGTCCTCAACATCTCCAACTTCATAAACATCTCCAACGTCCTCAACATCTCCAACTTCATAAACATCTCCAACGTCCTCAACATCTCCAACTTCATAAACATCTCCAACGTCCTCAACATCTCCAACTTCATAAACATCTCCAACGTCCTCAACATCTCCAACTTCATAAACATCTCCAACGTCCTCAACATCTCCAACTTCATAAACATCTCCAACGTCCTCAACATCTCCAACTTCATAAACATCTCCAACATCCTCAACTCCCTCAATTGGTGTCTCCAATGTCTCCATACCCAACTCATGACCCATGACACAATGTCGTCAACATCTCCAACACCTTCAACATCT